AGTCTTTTTCGTGACAATACCGTGTATTATTACAACATATACTTGATAAAATATTACAATACTGTTTCTGATCCAGTAATCATCTGCGGAGAAAACGTAAATGTGAAAAAGTCCTCTCTGGTCTCCTTAAATCCAGTAATCTGACGGTAAGAAAAAAGATTGATCGAACAGCATTTAAACACAAGATGGCAATTTCTATTGAAGAAGTTTCTGTGCAAAGTCAAGATTTGTCAATTACACCCATTCAATGTAATTCTGAAATCCCTAAGCCTACTTCCTAAAGGTTAAAGACCTTGCAGGGGATGCCGGATGCCTGTTTTATCGATCGGATGATTATAGATTTTTCTGCACCGAAATCTTTTTATTAGTTTAATAAAATAATAAATGCTTTTCCACAATTAAAACACGTACAGAAACAAAGTGGGAACCTACTGATTTTATGTTAAAAACAAGAAAAAATTTAAAAACTAAAATTTCTTTATCGACTTCTATCGTCAAATCATAAAAGTTCTGCTGTTTGTACGTACAAAATAAGATAGGTTCCAACTAGAAATTGAATAAAGAAATATTAGTATACTTTAAGATATAAGTTTAAAAGCCTAATAAATAAGAAAACGGTGCAGAAAATTTTCACGCATATGTGTTGTATACGTGCATATATTTAGACATGTGTGATGCTAATCTATCGGAGTTCGGCCGTCTCTCCGGCATCCCCTGCCGGACAAGGGTGAAAGGACAATGACAATCATGTTGTAATTTTATTTATTAAAAATAGAATCTAATAACGGAAAGTAAGAAAAATCTAAATATTCGCTATCTTCTGTTGCATTTAGACTATTATGTAGATAGTCTCCGAGATCAACCTTCTATAATAATTTTTTCGTGATCTAAAATCTTAGGATTATTTCAGTCAAAATTATGATTAGTTTCCGTGATATGTTGAGACACTACCGTGTTTTGTCTCATATTGTTTTATATTCGTCCTGTGTTCTCTTATCCTAGTATGTAACTGTCGCTTAGTCTGTCCAACATATGATGCTGAACAATTTTTGCATTCTATCTTATATATAACATTGTTATTATACTCTTTTGGAGTGGTATCCCTATGAACCTTAATAATGTTATCAAGCCTATTTAAGCATTTATATCCCGCTGCAAATTCTGTATTCCGAAAGGAGTTGCAAATATGTTCAGTTAAATTTTTAATGTAAAGAATTGCTACTTTCGCATCTGGTTTTTTATTAAGTTAGTTATAGATAGTATTATTTTGACATAATTTCGTAAACATTAATTTTTTTATTCTGACCTCAAGCTTAAAGATAAAAGATAGAGGGTATTCATTTTCCAACAACGTGTCTATTACATAATTCAAGTTTTTATTATGATATTGAGAATAACAATAATACGGCTCTATCCATTAAATTATAAATTGTGCCTATTTTATAACACAAAGAATGATTAAAAAAATACGATAAATATATGTCTAAATGTGTTTTTTTTTATGGAACCAACTGTGACAACTTTATTATTTTCATTAATCATAGTCTTTAAATCTAAAAAGTTTATGGATTTATTCTCCTCTATTTCAATCGTGAACTGAATCCTATCATGATATGAATTGAAAACTTCCACGATTTTTTTAGTCAGATGTTTCGGTGCTGCCAATAATATGTCATCCACATATCTATAATAAAATGATAATTTTTCACCCAATTTAAAAAGAGCTTTATTCTCAATGTTCTGCATTACTATATCTGCGATTATTGGGGATAGTGGTTACTCCATGGGAGTTCCGAAAAACTGTTTGTAAAAAACATCATCAAAACTAAAACATGTCAAGGTCGAAACAAATTTTAACATACGATATACATCTCCTTCTTCTCGGCCACAGAGCCAAACGCGATGTTATTGCGAAAATTAAGCAAGAAAATTAAGGAATCTGAGATTTTGTATCCTATGGTTGGGATCTCAAGAATTCTCCTTGTTCCTCTTTTTAACTTTCCCTGTAAAGAAATAGGCGAGAAAAATATTGGTCCGAAAGTTGGCTAAATCGAGAATCGAACCCGTTCGCCTGGCAAGCGGAAGGTCTCGGGTTCGATTCCCGATTTAGCCAACTTTCGGACCAATATTTCTCGCCTATTTCTTTACAGGGAAAGTTAAAGAGGAACAAGGAAAATTCTTGAGATCCTAACCATAGGATACAAATTCTTAGATTCCTTAATTTTCTTGCTTAATTTTCACAATAATCGCGTTTGGCTCTATGGCCGAGAAGAAAGAGGTGTATATCGTGTTTTATATATATTAAAAAAGCCGATCTAATATTTTTATTAAATTTCGTCATGTCCAAAAATTCCATTCTGGGGATATCCGTTGAGTTTTTAATATACGACCATCTGTTATCAATTTCTGTTAATGCTAATTCTATGGGAACGTTCGTAAACATGAGACAATAACATGAGACAAAACACACGGTAGTGTCTCAACATATCATAATTAATCATAATTTCGACTGAAATAATCCCAAGATTTTAGATCACGAAAAAATTATTATAAAAGATTGATCTCAGAGACCATCTACATAAAAGAACAACATAATGGTCTAAATGCAACAGAAGATAGCGAATATTTAGATTCTTCTTACTTTCCGTTATTAAATTCTATTTTTAATAAACAAAATTATACAACATGATTGTCATTGTCCTTTCACCCTTGTCACTCTTTGCTTAAATATATAATACCGGCGCTTTAAGATTGATGTCATTGTCTGTTTATAACTCAATAGTTATTGTCAAGGAAACGTGTTTATTATACACCGAATAATTTTGACACTTACATAAAATAATTTTTTATCATTTGACACACTGTAAAATTTATTTATTTAAACTTGGACAAACGATTGATGAGTTTGGTTTAATTATGTAGACAACACCTACATAACATTTTTAAAAAATCTGTGAATTGTTAAAGTCAATTTTTATATTATATTTATAGTTTTTGTATATTGCGGCTGAAGAAGTCTTAAGTGAAAGTACGAAACGTTCCGCTTCTAATAAATGTTACATCTGATATTTATGTCTATTTAATGTATTCTAATTTCATGCTTGAAGAAGGCTGTTGTAGGTATTATATTAATACCAGAACTTCTTATTTAATAGAATAAGACTTTATTCTGTAACACTTTCTTACTGCGTACGTTACATGAACAAAAGAGAGCTTGAACTGAATACATAATATAGATATTGTCTTTAGTTGAAAATAAAAACGAACAAATATATCTAGAGAGAAAACATGTTTGCCAACGCAAGACAGAACAGAAAAATAGTTAGTTTCTCCTAGAGTTTCTCCAAAATATAATAGTGACTAACTAATAAAATGAGTACAAAAAGTGACTAGTGATTACAAATACTCAAAAAGTAACTAAGTCTTTAATTACCAACAAAGGCCTAATAAAAATTAAATTGAATTAATTTTACACTTTGTACTAACGATTCCAGAGCATGCGTGGGCTCTGAAAGAATTGGCTACACGGTTACATCTCCGAATATTGACTTAATAATCGAAAGCGCATTTATAAAATTATTTCCTAATCTTGATACTGAAAACTCTGGTCATTGAGAAAACTGAATTGAATTTTGTCTTTAAAAATAAAATCCCTAAATCTAAGCTAATACGAGTAATAATTCTTTCAGGTTTGCTTAACTAATATATAATATACGATGCTTATTTCACCATATTACAGATCAAGAATCTTCTTCTATAAGAATGTAGATCTTACGTTAATGTAGATCCTCGATATTCCAGGTAAGTTGATTCTCTGGCAAAGGAATCCTTGCATTTTCCTAATTCCTTCTTTAGGTATAAATTACCAATCTAGGTAACATCTAAGTAAACTGCAGCAATCTTTATTCAAGAAACAACTATATATTGATGCAGATATTCTACATACAGAAAGTCTTCACAAAGATTTACAGAAAGATACTTTACAAAGATTGAAACTTCTTTTTCCCTCAATGATACACTGAAATTAAAGAAGGCTTAACACGATCGATCACGATATCAAGGCTTAATCTCATCATATCACGATTTATTTTCATCTTTGGGAGAAAAACATTGTTAACTCTTTTGAATGTTCTTGTAGCTTTGCATATCAAGACCTTAATCACATACCCAGCCTGAAATGATATTGAATCAACGTCAATTCGTCGTTGAATCGATGTCAATTCATCGTTGAATCGACGTCGATCGGGTAAATCGCCGTCCAATCGATGTTGATTCGACGTCGATTTGATCATTCATTTCTGGCTGGGTATTCTTTCATTGTCCAAATCATAAAAACCAATCAAATACTCTCATTTCCTCCTTATTCTGAGTAAATCTTTTGATATAATTAAATATTAAAAACATTGTGTTTCACAACTGCACTAAAATCTTTAAAGTATTTTATACTTTTACAAAAAAACTAATATATGTAATCTTTAATTTACTAATATTTTAAATAACATTAACTGGTGTATAGGCAAATTCTGCGTAGAAGCCTAATCAAGTTAATAAAAAAGAAGAAGACAATTATTAGTTGTAATTAATAAAATAAATATTTTTAAATCAAATAATTTTTAACGACCTAACTGGCATAAAAAATATCTTTATTGTTGGTTAAACATCAAATAAAATTAAGGACGACGTTTCGACCCTTGTTTTGGGTCCTTATCAAGTCTAAAAAATACAAACAAAAATTTTTTGTTTGTAATTTTTAGACTTTACAAACAAAATTTTTTGTTTGTAATTTTTAGACTTGATAATGACCCAAAACAAAGGTCAAAACGTCGTCCTTAATTTTATTTGATGTCTAACCAACAATAAAGATATTTTTTATGCCAATTGGGTTGTTAAAAATTATTTGATTAATTTTATTAATCACTGACGGAAAAAGGAATTACTACTTATTATAAATATTTTACCATAATTTTTTTTAATATACATACATTATTAATATTTACAAATATATTTCAAAATATTTATTTTGCAAAACTCGCGAACAAAAAACGGTGATACAAATCCAAAATTTTATAAATCTTTCTTTTTCAGTATCATGCAAAACTCATTCTGCTGTGCAATATTGTACACCTACAATAAAAGTACAATAAATAAATTACAATTTTGTTCTAGTAATAAAATTATCATATTACTCTAATTCATCTTTTTCTGCCAATTCTTACCAGGTGTTACAGATACTATCCAATCAACAAAAGCTCCTGTACGTGTTTCAATACCAGGTACATTTGAACCACAACCAATACCAGCAGATATAATACCGACTAATACAAGCTTATGTGTGATAGGATTTTCCCATAAGGCAGGTCCGCCACTGTCCATCTGTGGTAAAAGAAAGGAATCATTATATCTTTGAAATACTTTTACTATTGTTCTTGAATAAATATTACAGTTTTGCACTTTTATATTATAATAATTATTTAAAAAATTGTTTTTTTACCTGACAAGAATCCTTCCCCGAAGCATAAGTACATATATTGTTATCAGTTATTTTAGGATAATAGTATTTGCATTGCATGAGATTTATTACATTTAATTTTACTTTTTGTAACGTAGTCGATTTGACGCCGGCAAATCCTAATAAACCCCAGCCTGGCGGTTGAAAATAGAATTAGAAAATAGTTAATAATAATCCATAATTGTAAAAATAACAAATACTAACCCAACACATCAACAATAGCACCTCCAAATGTGTCTCGTTTACGTTGAAATGGTAAGCAGACTGGGCCAACTTCAGCACTATATTCTATAGTACCAATAATCTTACAAACAGCTATGTCGTTATGAATTTCATTGTAATAAGAATGCATTATGCATTTGCTAACACGGAACAATTTAGTTGCCTTGGTCTCGCTACCTATTCATAAATTGATATTGTTCAAGTTTATTAATTTATAAAATTAATTTATGTAAAATTAATTTTTAAAAGTTTTATTAATTTTTAATGAAATTTTAATAACATATTTTTAAAAGACAATGTGTCGATTTTTACAATGATTGTATCTAATAGATCTTGCATTCCTGGAAAAATATATAATTCCGCAGAATTTATATGTACAAGAAGACTAATAAATATGCATAGATTCAATTACTTTGATCTTTTTCTCATAGACGAAAAAAATACATACTTTATAATAAACACCTTACCTTATATATGTATATAAAATAGAAAACAAAATAAAATATCACAAAATTGATATAACAAACTCGTAGAGAGTGGAGAATTACGCATTAATGTGTTTTTTCTAAAGAAAACAAAGTTTTCAAGAAAATATGTAGCTGTTAGTTACAATTTTGACATCATACTTTTCTTGAAAACTATGTGTTTTCTTTACACCAATCGATTCCTCTCATTATTTTATATGTAAAAGTTTTGAAGTAAGATCACATCGAAAAAGAAATATTTTGCGATATTATTTCATAGTTTATGTAAGATTATGTCAAATTAAGGTACAAAATATCTTCTAAATTATTCACATTTTAATACTATTTTTATAACTTTTTGTGCAAAATAGTGGGAGGAATTGATTTATATAAAAAAATTTTAAATAATCTCGCCTTAGCAACGTCATCCAAGATCAAAGTGATAAGATATGTTAAATAGATATTTTTAAACTCTACAACTTTTATTTGGAACATCTTTTCCAAACTGCATTGTTTATGAGATATTCGACCGTTTCCAAACTTTTAAACCACTCTACGTATTGTTGAATATGGCTCAATCAAGAAATCAAAACGTACGCCATTTATCTAATTAATTTCATTAGCAGAAAAGAACTGCGCAAACTTTTTATCGCATCTGCATCTTAATTAACCAGTTTTCTTGATTTTATAGATTTTATAGAAATTTTGATTGCAAATTTAAAATATTAAAAGCCTAAAAAATTGTAATGTTTAAAATTTCAGCTATTTATAAGTCATAATTAAATTTTTTTTAAAAGCAGTCGTATTAAAGGAGCCATATTTCCATTTTAAATTTTTAAATTTTGACTTCAGATTTGTTTTTTAATTAGCGATCGCAAAAACCCTTAATTTATATTAAATTTTAGCAAAATATGTTTTTAAAAATTGTATCACAAAAGATTAAACAATAATGCTAAGACATTTTAAATAAAAAATGAAGCATCGCATTTGCAAAAAAAATACATTTTTGTAATAAAAATGAATACGCGAGTATATAATGATTTAATATAATACAATATATAAAAAAAGTCATTTTTCTCCTTCTCTTTACAGATATGCATTATAGCAAATATTTTATTACGTTAAGTTATAATTATGTTGTATCTGTTATAAATTAATTTATAACAGATACAAGAAAAATTATAATTTTTTAAAGCGATATTATATTGTAATCATATGTGAATATTTGTCTGATAAATTTGACTTATTTTAAATATATTAATTAGTTATTTTAATAATTACCTATTGTTACATCGTGTTCGCCAACAACAACGCCGATTCTAGAGGTATCTCTATCTTCTACACAATGAGCTGCTGTTACTACGTATTGTTGAGATATTATAGTACAACCACAATATATCATTTTCATAGTACTATCAACGAGTCCACACATCATAGGATATTCATTTATCCCAGTTTCCGTTCCGCCTACTATTTTAGTCTAAATAATAATATGAATTATATAAAATAAATAATACTTATAAATAACTAATCTATTAATAAATATTATTTTGCGAGGTACATTATTTACTTACTACTTTTTTCCAACCACATTTGCAATTGTTTTTATCAAACGGTTTTTCTGTTCGAATTTCGCATAAAAATGTGCCTCCTTGCGTGTAATATGATGGATTTAATTTTATAATTGGATTTATTCCTTCAAGAACGAGTGTACCGTAACCACAATATTTCTGTGCATTTCCTCCACTAAATTGGATAGAAAGACTATCTTGAGTACAATCATTCTATAAAATAAAATAATAATTTATATTACAATAATTAGTAAAATATTAATAAAAATATATTAATTTTTTTCGTCTTATTTCTAGTAAGTATAATATTGTAATTATTTATATATTGTATTTGTGTATTTTAATTAAATTGATACGTTATATAGTTTTATATTTATTTTCTATTAAAAAAAAGCAAAAAGAAAAAGAACTATTTCTTGTATTTTATAATACTATAAATACAGGTTTTAATGCTAATATATATAATAAGTTTGATTTTGATGTTAAATAGTAAAAAACAACATTTAATATTTTATTATATTATTACAACTTATGATGCATTGGAAAAGTTTTATAACATTCCAAATTAAATACATTAAATTTTTTAGTCTTTAAATGGAACTTTCTGAAAATATTAAAATTAATAAGATTTTCATTATTAAATATTACCTACTACAGAAAAATTGTATTAAGCCATTGGAAATCACAAAGACAATCTGTCAAATATATTTCAATAATTTATTTAAACTAAAAAATTTTTTTATATTATTAAATGAAAAAAAATATAATTATAAAATAAATTATATTTAAAATAACGACATTAATATGAGAAATATCAACATTTTCAAATTTTTGTAAAAATTTATATATTAAATAAGTTGCTAACAATAAGTGTAAATTATTGAATATTATACAGTGGACCCAATATGGCGGGCATATAGTAAATAATTAATATCAAATAAAATAATAATCACAATTGGTGTAAAAAATAAAAACATATTTGATGATAAAAATTTTATTAAAATATATATTAATCTTTGTAACAAAACTCTTCAGTGCTAAAAGTTTCAAAAGTTTTTAATTTAAAACAGGAAATATATGTAAAATTGTTCTAAGACGTTACATATTGTATTTAATATATATTATATAATATATACTATATAATTTAATAACATGTCTTAGTAACAATAAAGATATTTTTATGCCAGTTGGGTCGTGAAGATTTGTTTATTTATATACTATATAGTTATATTTTGTAGTTAAATATAAAATTATTTTTTTATAATTTTACAAATTTGTAAATTGTGACATTAATGAAAATATTTTTGAGGCCAAAATCATATTAAATATGGCCAAAAATTATTTTCTGTTAAATTGTGTTATGCTTGAAAATAATTTATTCCAAGTACATAGAATAAATTTTGAACAAAGTATTTATTATTTATAACTTACATTAAACGCTGGCATATTAACACTGCAATTTATTTTAGTAACATAGCGACTTTGCATTGTCCACGTGCAATGACTTTCCCTTTCATATTTATAAGGAAAACCAGGATTATATACATAATATGTTTGCCCAGCTTCTAAATTTTGAAAGTAGTTGCAGGCGGATATAATCACATTTAGCATTGAGAGAGACAGCAGGAAGCCAAATAAATCCTTGACTAATCGTAAGATAATTAAGATTTTTTATTACACTATATAACATATAAAATACTATATAATATATATATATATATATATAAATATATATATATATATATATATATAATATTTCATTTGCTACTTAAAACATATTTGAAGTTTATTGACATTATGTTAATAAACTTTAAATATGTATTAAAAGTAGCATATGAAATATTTTATATAGAAATTATTGTCAGAATATTATATTTTTGACAAAATATAATATTCTAGTATTTCCTTCTATAAAATAGCATAATTTATTTATAATATTCGAAATTTTTATCTTTCGATTTTTAGAAAACAATAACAAAATAGTATAAAAAAGATATATAAGAATATCTGATTTTTTTTAATAATACATGATAATAAATATTTTATATAAATAATGAAAAGGTTAGATATATAAAATATTTTAGGTTAGATATATAAATAAAATAAACAAATTAATATAAAGTATACATTAATTATATGTATAGTATATAATTTGTAATATACATATAGTATATATTCAAATATATAATATAAAATATATTGAGAAAATGTAAATATATTAAATATGTCACGTAATAATATAGATATAATTTTAATTTTTGTAAATTGTGCAAATTTATATAAAAAGAACATTGAAAATCTATATAATAGATCAAACATTGAAACATTGAAAATCTATATAATAGATCTATATAATAGATCAAACATTGAAACATTGAAAATCTATATAATAGATCTACAATATATAATAGATCATTCTTAAAGCTATTTGTAAAACATATTAATAACAAATAAAGATAGAATTTATTATATAATATTATAGTTTATTGGCATGCATTTTTTATTTAAGACAAATTTTTAGAAAGGATTTTTTTGTTAATTCAGTGTAGACACAAAATATTATCTATATATATAAGCACCGTCTGTCTGTATGTATGTACGCGAACTACTTCCGCATTTGTGGACCGATATTCGTGAAACTGGTACCAAAATGTTGCAAATTTTTTGGGGGTGGCTGCTGTGGGGTTTTTTTTTTAATTTTTTAATTTTTTTTTTTTCTACAGAGGAGGGTATGTTTAATCTTTTTTTGCAATATTTCTGAACACATGGTATCAAAATGTTGCAAATTTTTTTGGAGATAACGACGATGCGGTTTTTTTAAGTGTTACACCCCCACCCACGCACCCACCCACGCATCCACCCACGCGCATGCGCATTTATGGACCAATTTTCACGAAATTAGTACCAAAATGTTGCAAATTTTTTTGAGAAAACTACTGGTTTATTTTTTTAAGTTTACCCCTCCACCCACGCACCCACCCACGCAATCGTATATTTATGAACCGATTTTTTTTAAATTGGTACCTCTTCCGGCTCTTGCCCATCGAGCTTTCTGTTTTACTGCAAAAAATGATTATATTATATAATATTTATTTATAATATTATATTATTATATATAATATTGAGGAGGGAGAGGGAGAGAGAGAGAGAGAGAGAGAGAGAGAAAGAGAGAGAGGGATTAATTTAATCTATATATATAAGCACCGTCCGTCTGTCTGTCTGTCTGTCTGTGCCCGAACTACTTCCGCATTTGTGGACCGATTGTCTCGAAATTGGTACCAAAATGTTGCAAATTTTTCGGGGGTGGCTGCTGTGGGTTTTTTTTTTAATTTTTTTATTTTTATTTTTTTTCTTCAGAGGAGGGTATGTTTTTGCGAAAAAATTTTTTTTTTGCAATATTTCTGAACACATGGTATCAAAATGTTGCAAAATTTTTGGAGATAGCGACGATGCGGTTTTTTTAAGTGTAACACCTCCACCCACGCATCCACCCACGCATCCACCCACACGCATGCGCATTTATGGACCAATTTTCACGAAATTAGTACCAAAATGTTGCAAATTTTTCTGAGGAAACTGGTGTTTTATTTTTTTAAGTTTACGCCTCCACCCACGCAATCATCCACGCGCGTGCGCATTGATGGACCAATATTTTTACGAAATTGGTACAAAAATGTTGCAAATTTTTTGGAGATGGCGACGATGCGGTTTTTTCAAGTGTTACACCTCCACCCACGCACCCACCCACGCGCATGCGCATTTATGACCAATTTTCACGAAATTAGTACCAAAATGTTGCAAATTTTTCTGACAAAGCTGGTGTTTTATTTTTTTAAGTTTACGCCTCCACCCACGCACCCACCCACGCAATCGTATATTTATAAACCGATTTTTTTAAAATTGGTACCAAAATGTTGCAAATTTTTTGAAGATGGCGACGATGTGGTTTTTTCAATTGTTACACCTCCACCCACGCATTCATCCACGCGCGTGCGCATTTATGGACCAATATTTTTACGAAATTGGTACAAAAATGTTGCAAATTTTTTTGAGAAAGCTGCTGTGTGGTTTTTTAAAGTTTTATCCCACCCACGCATTCACCCACGCATTCACACATTTATTCACAGACTTTTTCGAAATTTGTACTCAAATTTTGTTGGGGATGGCTACTATGATTTTAACAAATTTTTATCATCCTATTCATCCACCCACGCACCCATGCACCCATGTGCATACGCATTTATTGACTTGGTCACACCAATAAGTAATTTTAAATAAATTTGTGTACATGTTTGTGATTGCAAAAATTTGCAACATTTTGGTACTAATTTCGTGAAAATTGCATACAAATTAAAGGTTTATTTACACGAATTGCACACATAATCACAAATACGTACACAAATTTTTTAAAAATTACTTCTTGGTGTGACCAAGTCAATAAATGCGTATGCAAATGGGTGCATGGGTGCGTGGGTGGATGAATAGGATGATAAAAATTTGTTAAAATCATAGTAGCCATCTCCAACAAAATTTAACTACAAATTTCAAAAAAGTATGTGAATAAATGTGTGAATGCGTGGATGCATGCGTGGGTGGGATAAAACTTAAAAAAACCACACAGCAGCTTTCTCAGAAAAATTTGCAACATTTTGGTACTAATTTCGTGAAAATTGGTCCATAAATGCGCATGCGTGTGGGTGGAGGTGTAACACTTGAAAAAACCACATCGTCGCCAAAAATTTGCAACATTTTGGTACCAATTTTTTAAAAAATCCGTTCATAAATATGCGATTGTGTGGGTGGATGCGTAGGTGAAAGCGTAAACTTAAAAAACCCCACACACATACACACAGAGAGAGAGAGAGAGAGAGAGAGAGAGAGAGAGAGAGAGAGAGAGAGAGAGAGAGCGTGTGTCTTAAAGAAAGAGGGAGGGAGAGAGATAAGGAGAGAGAGAGCATGTGTCTTAAAGAGAGAGAGAGGGAGCGCGTGTGTTTTAGAGTGAGAGAGAGAGAAAGCGTGTCTTAAAAAAAGAAAATAAAATATCTGGGAGAAAGAAATAGATAACATAGTAGTCATCCACAAAAAAATTTAAACATTTATTTTGGTATAAATTTCGTGAAAGTCGAACAACAAATGTGGAAGTAGTTCGCGGTAATACAAAAAAAGAATTAATTTTTTGTGTTAAAACGGATTTAATATAGACTATATGAGGACCGCGCAAAGCGCGGTCCGAAAAGCTAGTATAACAATAATTAGAATAAATTTACGAAAAATTTTAAATTTTTTATAAATTGTTTATAAATTCTTAAATTTACATTAGAGCAATTAGTTATAGACAAATTGATTACACATATTATACTTTTATGCTAGTTAAATTTTTCTTTACATATAATAATTTTATTGTTATAGTTGCTATCAATTTCAGCTATTATATAGTTTACTAATAGTTTATTATTATTTTTATAACTAATATTTTACATTAAATTTCAAGATTTCTAATATTTTTTTAAAAATTTATTTAAAAGTTTACTTACAAATTGTAAAAAGAATTGATTAATTGCTTAATTATTGACTTATTGTTAGTACGTACTTGTAATTTTTTCTGTAATTACTTAAATGCAATTATTTCGAGATATACTATGTATATGCACATTTTCTTATACACAGTTTGTATTACCTGCTTGCATGGTATATCTGTCAAAATATTCTGGCACTTTAAAAATTTAACTTGTTTAACTTATTTCTGACAGACAACTACGCGCTACATAGTAGAAGTGTCTGCTTTTATTCCAACACAAAGATAAAATACACCTAAATCCTGATATCTCAGGTACCTTATCTTACAGTTAATTATACTTTGCAAAGCAGATTTATTTCAAAGGCGAATATTTTCAAAATGGCATTAATGTAATCCTAAATTTGATAAAACATGTATATTCAAAATATTTTAAGTGGTTTAGTTGTTAATATATTAAAAATTAAAATTTAAAAAAACTTAAAGCATAATTACATATTATTAAATTAATGCTATATTATTGAAATTATTGACATATACTTTGACGATTAATTTAAATCCTTTTTTTATAATAAAAAAATGTAATTATTGCAATTTTTTACTATGAATCAAAAACTTACAATTCAAGATCTCATTCTTTATTTAATCTGAAATAGACGTTAATTGATGTTTAATATTAGATTTAATTATTAACATATATATAATGTATTAGAAAATATAAAGTTATAATAAAAATAAAATAAAACAAAATTTTCTAAAACAAGCAAAAATTAACTTAATTCATTTAATCTCAAAGGATATGTCAATAATTAGTTCGCTAATTTATAGGATGGCTGTTCTTAAAAAAATTATAAAATATATTCTTGTTCTTAATTAAATAAAGTAGAGTTGATTTATTGTAATTAATATTGAAATGAATTATTGTTGAAACACATTAAAAAGTCAATAATGATATCTTATCTCGCAGATGTGACATAAAAATAGAGCACATACTTTTTTACATATACTTTGACATATATGATAAAATTGATGAGGTAATAACTAAAAAAATATATTTTTATTATATGTAAAAAAAATTTAACTAGCATAAAAGTATAATATGTGTAATCAATTTGTCTATAACTAATTGCTCTAATGTAAATTTAAGAATTTATAAACAATTTATAAAAAATTTAAAATTTATTCGTAAATTTATTCTAATTATTGTTATATAATATTTTGTGTCTACACTGAATTAACAAAAAAAATCCTTTCTAAAAATTTGTCTTAAATAAAAAATGCATGCCAAATATATAAAAAAATGACAAACCTTGTATATAACAATCAATACAAAATTATATAAGAAAACAAGCAAAACTATTAAACATTATTCAATAATTATTTATTCGAAAATATAAATTAGATTAATGCCATATATGTATCTAAATATAAGTACTTATTTATTAATAAATTTATTTATACACCTAAATAATTTGCTCGTTTTTAAGTTGGCCTGTTTATGTACGTTCTACTTTATTTAATTTTATACGAGCCGTAAAAAAAATTCAAAATAATACTGAGACAAATTATTTCGACCAAAAACTGGCTAATTCTTTATTACATGTAAATGAACACTACGTTTCGACCAACATTGTGGTTTTTTCAAGTGTTATACTTATTCTGCAATTACATTAATTCGAAACGGAGACATGAAATTATCACCTGTCATGTTAACAATCTGTCAGTAACTAACAGTAAGATTGTTAACATGACAGGTGATAATTTCACGTCTCCGTTTTGAATTAATGTAATTGCGGAATAAGTATAACACTTGAAAAGGACCACAATGTTGGTCGAAACATAGTGTTCATTTACTTTTAATAAAGAATTAGCCAGTTTTTGGTTGAAGTAATTTGTCTCATTGTCAGTATTATTTTTAAATTGTCACTAGCGATCAACATTTATTTAAAAAAATTTCATTTACTAATTTTTTATTTTTTATTAATTTAATAAATTAACAACTGTGTTTTTTTACGTCAGATTCTCCCAGAAAACATTTTGCGTGCAAATACCTAGCTATTGCATACAAAAGCGGCTTATACTGCGCAAGCAAAACCTTAGCCTAGTGCGTCCTCGTAGTGATAGTAAATGCTAACACACTTTGCGCGCGATCTCATCTCGTTATAAGCATGCAAGATGAGCACTATTCAACAAACATATTGCTGTCACTATCACATCACTGGCATATTTTTGGCAATTTGATATCTATTTGCACGTGATTTGTTGGTGTATCAAATAATACATAAGCTAACCATTTGCGTGCAATATGTACGATTGAACATATCCCACAAGCAAAACTCAGGCAAATCTCGTACACAATTGATATGTATAAGACGCGCAAATTTTGTACGCAAAAATTGTTATCTGGGTCTTTATTATTTTATGTATAAGTATTGGGGTAAAAAATCAATATTTTACAAGATATTTCATAGATTAGGTAAAATTAGTGTCTTTAAGTAGAAAATATGTTGTAAATTTTTTTTACCAACTTATCCTTATAATTTTATGTCAAAAATTGCGAGAAATCGATCTATATTAAAAAGTTATAATAAATCCACTTAAAAAACATAAATGACTGTTAAATGAACTTAAAAAGTGCCCTTCAGAAAAAGTCAATAGTATCATCTTCTGTTCCTCTTCAATCAAACAAACACTTTTGTCTGAAAACATTTGTTGTACAATCAAAAAAAAAAAAAGTTATTTTCTATGTATTTGACAAACATATTCGTGAAATATGAAAAACCAATATAATATTCGAGTATAAACGCAACATAAAAATGTGCATTTTGAATTTAAGAGTGCAGATAATGCTTTTATTTTCCACGTGACTTATACAAAAAAAATTATTGTTAATATGAACAAAATATTTTATATTGCATCATATTTTATATTTGATATATTTCTTAATATCCTAAATATACCTATGTATGTGTTCGCTACTACTGATAATTTTAAAACAGAAATTTTATCTTAAATCTGAAAATAAAAATGTTGAGATAAAATAACATAAAGTTACAATAAAGTTTAAAATTTTTCGGATTATGTTTATAACATTTTTTTTATTCTAACTTTTGTATAAATTGAAGAGTATCATAATACTTCAAAATATAATACGTAATTAAAATTTTAGTTATTTAGTAGTAAAAGAAAATTGGATGGTAATATAAAAAATACATATAGTTGTATAGAGAATGGTATATCATACACTTTACTTTATTTTCCAATAATAATTATATGATATATAATTATGATCAAATAAAAATTTTCTTGAATATACAGGTATATATATATATATATATATATATATAGTTAATAAATATTTTAAACATATTAATATATATAGATATTCATATATATATATATATACATATATATATATGATAATAATTATATGATATATAATTATGATCAAATAAAAATTTCTTGAATATACAGGTATATATATATATATATATACCTGTATATTCAAGAAAATTTTTATTTGATCATAATTATATATCATATAATTATTATTCATATATATATATATATATATATATATTATATTATATAGTGAATATCTATAATATTAATATGTTTAAATATTATTAAATATATATATTATATATGATGTTATATTATACATATTTAATATTTATATATATTATATTAATAATTATCAGTTTGATAAAATATATATACTTAAAACAATTTAAAACATTTTATCAATATATAAATAATAATTTATATCATTGAAAAATATAATGTTACAAAATTTGTATTTTAAGAGGATAGTAAGTGATTTATATAAATTATATAACATATTTATGTAGTAATTGATTATTATACTATAATACTGATTTATTAGTATAAGATATTTTATTTTAATATAACAGAAAGATGATTGTACAGTTGTTATTTGTATTTCTGTTGATTATACATATTATACTTTACATAAATTTCGATACGAAAAAATACTGTTTGAAAAATGTATAATTCTTCACAGCATCGAATGATATATGATCATACAATGGGTTACAGAATATTTGCATTAATTTAAAAAATCTGCTGATTGTATTGTATTAGTATTAATATAGCCATCATACATTACTTCCCAGTAAACGTCATGTAAAACTTTCCACCATGCTTCCCAAACCAACGCTAAGGATTCTGTACCCTGAAAAAGAAAAAAATTAACATTAATTCCTAATTTGATATATATATATATATATATATATATATATATAATATATGTATTACATTGGTCAAAAGAATTATTGCAACACGCAATTAATATCAAAATTTCGCGTAAAATTCAAATAAGCATATTTTTGCAAAAAATTATTATATTTAAAAAATTTTTTTTTGTGTTTTAAAGGGTGAAGTCTCTACTTTAAGAGTTCATTCGATTTTGATTTTATCCTCTCCCCTCTCTCCACCCCTTAAAAATAAGGTGTTTTTTTTTCAAAATTTGACGAAACTCTACGAGGTAAATAAATTTTTTTGCACAAATCTTATTCAAATTTTCGTAAATATGGACTTTTTCCTACAAATTAAAAAAAGTAAAATTTGTAGATTTTTTTGGGTTAAAGGTGGGGTTAGAATTTAGAGTTACGGCCATATCAAAGTTATTTATGCATTTTTGTGCAATTATCACCAGCATTAGCGATATCCGGCACGCATCAACGATGATTGCGCGACAAATTGCTAATGAAGATCTCCCTCACAGAATCAATGATCAAACAATTAGAAGACGTTTACGTGAACGTAATTTATGTATGCGATCAACATTTTTCTATACATTAAAAGAAGAAGAAAAGTCGAACTCGCGATCTTAAACGCGTTCACGTAAAGTTTTTTAATTGTTTAATCGCTGATTCTGTGAGAGAGATCTTCATTAGCAATTTGTCGCGTAACCATCATTGGTGCGCGTTCGGTATCGCTAATGCTGATGGTAAATGGAAAAAATGTGTAGGTAACTTGATATGCCGTAACTTCGCGAAAAAAAATATTGTACGAACTTTGCTTTTTTTTAATTTCTAAGAAAAAGTCCATATTTTACGAAAAATTTGGATAAGAAAAAAATTTATTTCACCCCGTAGAGTTTGTCAAATGTTGTTGCAATTTTTTTAACAAAAACACAACTTTCTAAAGGGATGGGAAAAGGGGGAGAGGATATTAAAATCAAAATTGAACCCAAAGTTTCTTAAAGTAGAGACTTTCACCCTTTGAAACAAAGAAAAATT